AATTTGGCAGATGGATGTAAAAACCGATTTCCTAAATGGGAAGTTGGCTGAGGATGTTTACATGAATCATCCAAAGGGTTTTGTCGATGCGAAGCATCCCAATGGGTGTTGAAGCTTGAAACATCCATTTATGGATTAAAGCAAGCATCTCGCAGATGGAATCTTTGTTTTGACGAGAAGGTCAAAGAGTTTGGCTTTCTACGAAGCGAAGATGAGTCATGTGTGTATGTCAAGGCCAGTGGGAGTATAGTAAGCTTCCTCGTATTGTATGTCGATGATACTGCTCATAGGAAACGACATCCCAACCTTACAGGAGGTCAAGTCCTGGCTTGGGAAGTGTTTCGCTATGAAGGACCTCGGAGAGGCTTCGTATATTCTGGGAATAAGGATAGTTGAGAGACAGAAGTAAGAGACTGATAGGACTCGGTCAGGATCCATACTTGGAAAAGGTACTAAAACGTTTTAGTATGGAAAATTCCAAGAAAGGGGAGTTGCCAATTCCAATGCAATACCAAACTGAGTAAGACTCAGAGCCCGAGTACAGAGGCAGAGATAGATGATGAGTCGAGTACCTTACGCTTCCGCAGTTGGCTCAATTATGTACGCTATGACCTGTACTCGCCCTGATGTGGCCTTCGCTTTGAGCATGGTCAGCAGATATCAAGGGACCCTGGTAGAGCGCATTGGATTGCTGTCAAGAATATTCTTAAGTACCTACGAAGGACCAAGGAATGGTTTCTAGTCCTCGGTGGGAGTGATGACTTAAGGGTGCGAGGGTACAGTGACACTAGTTTTCAGACGGATCGGGATAATTACCGATCGCATTCAGGCTGGGTCTTTACCCTGAATGGAGGAGCAGTGACTTGGAAAAGTTCCAAGCAAGAGACCGTAGCTGATTCAACGTGAAAATCAGAGTACATTGCGGCAAGCGAAGCGTCAAAGGAGGCTATATGGTTGAAGAACTTCATATGAGACCTTGGAGTTATGCCATCCATAAAGGAGCCCATGGAAATTTTCTGTGATAATGAAGGAGCGGTTGCCTTGACCAAGGAACCAAGGGATCATGGCAGATCTCGACATATCGACAGAAAATACAATTTTATTAGACATCGGGTAGAAGAGGGACTCCTCGTTGTGAAGAGGGTATCGTCAGAAGATAACCCAGCAGATCCCCTTACGAAGGGACTGAGTAGGGTTAAGCATTTGAAGCACCCTAGGAGCGTTGGGCTAAAGGACGATATTAGTTTAGATTAGATAGATAGGAAATTTGTAATGGATAATTTTGTATTCAACATTTTGATGATTAAATAAAGGTGTGTTATTTATAAGAAAGTTACTATCTTGTGTTGATTATTTATCTGTTATTTCCAAATTTTGCATGTTTTGACTTCCTGAATAATAAGATTGTTCGAACAGTCCACAATCGCTCATATGTTGGAAGTAGATATGTAAGAAGATTGTCATAAATTTGTTTGTAGATTGTCTAAAAGGTTTAGACATAGCAAAGGTTTGCTACAAAGTTTATGAGTGCTTATGAAATATGTTTTGAGCATTGGAATAAACCCGCACTTGCTAGTATCACTTCATGAAAGTTATCACAAGTGATCGCAAGATGATAATATCATATAATCTTTAAACCTAGAGATATGGTTATTGTTTGCTAGATGATTATGCATTGATAATACGAAAACGCATCAGTAACTTGATGTTATAAAACGTATTATTGTGTGTAACTTAGCTAGTAGATAATAAAGCATATAATCGAAGTTTTATGTTCCTTTTATTCTAAGAGTATAAAAGCGATATCTTGGCCACTTGATGATTTGGTTTGACTTATGTGCCGGGCCCGGTCAGGATGAGGTTGATGTGTTCAACTGAATTCTATGTCAAACAAATCAGAAATCGAGAAACAAATGCTGGACAATAAGTATTGTCGGCATGATATCTAGAACAGAGGATTATACGATCCTTTATCTGAAGGACAGGATTTTGATCAGAGTTGACAGAAGCGTATAGAGCTACGATTGCTAACCGGATCCTGAAGTCGTATGTGAGATATAGTTACTAGACTTATCCAAGGGGGACTGTTGGATTAGTGTCTAAGCCCGTAACTATATTTGGTATGCACTTGACCCGGTTATGCATGGTCCTTTTGGGTTACCTTCACCAAAGCAACTTGACAAGGTAATTTAAGGAAAGAGAGAGGATATTATGGTTTATTAATATATTATAAGAATAATATATTAAAGGCGAAATCATATTTATTTAATTAGTATTAGTCATAAATTAATTAGGAATTAATTTGATGACTAAAAGAGATTAATTAAATAAAGGGGCATAAACTGTCAAATGTGTGATAGTTGAGTTTTGGGCTGGGAAACCTAATGGACTAAGGGGGAACGAAATTATGATGAGGGATCATCATATTTTCGTCCAAGGGCCCTATTCCAGAAGGTTCCTTTGGCTACTTGGTGGCTAAGGTATCCATTAGAGTTTAGACTGAAACCCTAGCAGCCTATAGTATAAATAGAGACCCTTGCATGTAATTTTCGGACACTTGTTCCAAAGAGAAAACCCTAGGCCGAAAATTAGCATCCTCTCTCTCTCTCTCTCTCAAAGTTGCCTTCTTGCTTGTGTGGTGTTTGTGATCCATTAGAGGAATTACAATTGTGATTCTAAGCTCAAGAGAAGAAGATTCAAGCTACAATTTGAAAAGGTAAACATCTAGATCTGATGTTATATGTTAATTTTGATATTATGTATGCTAGATTAGGGTTTGTAAGTCTTGGATTCATACAATAGAGAAACCTAGATCCAAGCATTATGGTTTTTATGAGCACATAAGATTGTTCTTATGCATAAAACCTATCATATCTATCATCTTATATTTTTTAATATTTATATCTCTTATATATAATTTTAAATTTCGAACCCTTATTGTATATTATGTATGAAATAATTTATTTAAAATATATAATTAAAATTTAAGTATTATTTCTAAACTGTTTTGTGAGTAAATGTGTCTCATCAACACCTTCAAACTGATATATACTTAATATATTGCAAATGACATTACACAACAAATTAAAAAGTAAATTAGAATATAGTTCCTATCTTACGAAATTAAAAGATTAAATACATACATCATTACAATAAAAACCACATGTTAAATTAAAATAAAAAGTAAACCGTAAATTACAACATGGTTTTTACAAAAAATACAAAATTCACATCTCATTTGAATATCGGTGGGTAATTTTTATAATTTTTCAAATTATGACCAGGTTGGTAACATAGTCGACATTCATAAGTTTTATCGAGATGAAGAATGTTGATCTCCTTATGAAATTGGCTTGCACACCTTTGACCTTGTTGCATAGAAAGGTTCGAGTAATCTACTTCAATTGTCTCATTCGACTCCAATCAATAATCATGAAAAAGTGGTATAAAATCGTACATAACAAGATTGTTGTCTATACGCCACAATAATGTACACATTGACGTTACTCACAAGTTTCTGATTGGGATCAAGTCGTACGATGTTGTCATGGATATGTTTTGGCTGTCTGCCTGTCAGACTAAGATTCTCTACACTAAAAATGTGTACGAGTTTCGCGTTTCGTGTGAGTGTATGTCTGCTCAAATGAAAATTCAAGATAATTGTAAAAAAGACAAATTCAGATTTTAGGATTCTTATTGTAATATGTCATGTCCTTATTCTTGTAATTTCGTAACATAGTATATGTTATGGACTTATTATTGTTAATTTCCGAATTCTTGCAAAGAAAATTCAGAACACCTCCTATATTTACAACTTTTTCTTCAAAATGCCCATATTTCTAAAAAAACTCACATGCGCCTTAAAAGAGCAAGTTGGTAATGAAAACAAGTTATATTAAGTAGAAAATGAGTTCATGCCAGACTGGATTGAAGATTTGGACGGAGTTAATGAAATTGATCAAAGAAAGACTAGAGGAGTTCATGGGAGGAGATGATTTGTTGCTCGAAAACGTATCCAGCGTCCAGATGTAGATCTCTTAATTTTGTGTATATTTTCTCATCTGTCTATTGTTTTTCGAAGAGAAAAAGGACGAAGTTGAATGTCCATGAGCAGTGGGAACTTTTACTGTTACTTCTCCTACGAACCAGAGGGCATGAGCACATGTGAGAAAAAAGCAAAATACAAAGACCATTCTTGTAATATGCTTAATTCTGTACTTAAAACATAAATCTTTAAAGGTCGACTTTAAATTTTATGTTTTTTTTTGACACGAAAAGTAATTTCAAAATACGATTTTAGTAATGTACTGCTTGGGTAAGCAAGTGATTAATCTATAGTTATAAGGATAATTTATTTATTTTTCAAAAATCAGATAATTGGCATTTAACTCGACCAGTATTTAATACCATATAGGATACAATATTTTTATAATAATATTTTTTTGAACGGGCTAATGGTTAGAAGTTAGTATCACGAAATTGTTCATTTTCGGGTTAGAACCCGAGTCTCGAGACTTCCAATTTAAAAGGCAAAACCCTTATCAAATGGATTAGGCCAATATTTTATAATAATATTAAGCGTATGAGTTTTCTTTTTCTAAAAAGGGAGGGATATTAGCATCCTATTTTATCAAATCAATACAAATATTAATAAATTAATAACTGAATTTTTATATTGGTTTTATCAAATAAAAATCTTCAATAACCACATATTCAATTTCAAAATATAATTTTCAATTTTCAGATTTTAAATCAAATCCAGTTATTATGAAACGTGTTCATATCATCGTCTATATTTACGTAATATAACATATGACATGGATAATATATAAGTAATAACAATAAAACATAAATATTACAAACTTCCGGTGAAAAGGCAAAACGGGAGTTACATACTACTACAGAAGCAGTTTACCGGCCACTGGCTATATCTCAACCACCCGCCGCCGCTACCACGGTGTTGTACCTGACAACGACATAACGTATAATATATGTATATCTTAACAGTAAGCCACACACTTCTTGCAGTCCATGGTGCACCCACCTCCACCGCCACCTCCGCCGTACCCCTTACCGGATCGGCTGTACGCAGTGAAGCATTTCGCCGGACATGTCAACTTCTTCTTGTAACACGGTCCCTTGTCTTTACACACCACAGTGGTACTAACTACCCCACTTTTAGAGTGATGACCTTTCGGACCTCCATAACCCGAACCGTACCCGCCACCCACACCATTTCCTGGCCAGTTGTTTCCCATTCCGGGTATGTTGAATCCGGGTCCTGTACCGGGGCCGAAGAACCCGCCGCTACTGTCATCCCGACCACCTTTCTTGTTGTTGTTGGAGTTGTGCTTGTCGGACTGTGGGTCGGGGCGGGTTGCAATAGTGATAGTGAAAAGGAAGAAGATGAAGAGGAAAGGAATGATGAGGTTTTTCATGGTGAAAGTGGACTTCGAGCAAATGGGTGTTGGGGGATATTTATGGTGGTGGGTGGGGTTGTGTCATGTGTGGGTATGGGGGTAGGAAATGAGCATTTAGGAGGATGTAGGGTTGCATGAGACTATGAGAGGTAGGTTGAACTTTGAAGGTATAAATGTGGGTAAAAGGTACTCATGCATATCCTTATTAAAAACATGAAAGAAAATCGTTGAGCAGCTTTAATGTGTTAGATAGTGTATCAAAATAAACCGGACTTCAAATTTATAAGCTTTTAGTAAAGTTGGGTTATAATAGTTTTTGCTAATGGTTGTTATGATTTCAATTTCATCTCAAGATTTTAAGAGCAAAAAATATCCTCATCATATTAGAATTTATCGGAAACATGATTTATACAGTAATTTTACGATTTTGATTAGGGTCTTAAGATCTTATCATGATTTGATCCCGCATCCTTAGTTTTTATATTATAGTTGAACCACAAAAAATCGTCATTCAACTTGGAACTAATCATCACAAGCCACGGAAAAGTATCATATTACATCAACATTTAATCTATTTATCTTGATAGACAAAAAAATAATAATGACACTCATGTTAGTCTCTTTTATGATCTTATGTTTTTAGTTATAGACGATAATGATAACCTTATTTCTTGTGCTTAAGATCTTTTCTTCATCTTTAAAATGGAGTAATGTGAACATGTGGCCGCTTCCTCTTCCTTTGAAGCTCTAACTCAATCTCCCATTTTTGGGCCATCTAAATCATTTGCTCAAGGGACTAGCATCTAGCAACATTAACAAACTCTCATATGTCACTTCTCAACATATCCAAAGATCTCATCATCTTCATCTCCCCACCGGGCTGCATACTCAGGGAAAAACAATCCACTCTCCATAAATTTGGCGATGATCTCAGTCACCCTCTCCATGGTCTACTCGAGAGCATAGAACTCTCGGGCCAACCGATGCACCTCAATAACAGGTACGCACTCTTCCCTCAACCCGGTGAAGAAATCCTGCTAAGTCATAGCGTCAATAGCCTCCGGTCCAAGAGCACGGATCATCCCACCCCACCCACCCCACCAGTGTCGAGCTCCCTCTCGTAGAAGACATGTAGCGAATCTGACCTTTGCCTCATCCGGAATCCATCGCATACTGAAGATGGGCTCCTTCTTCCCCGAAAAATCGGGAGCTCTATGAGTACACAGAACTCACGGAAAGTGACCTCACGAGTTCGGGGCCGACTGGCCTCCAAGTCAACCCGAATAGTCTGAAACCGCTCATCCATCATCGCCACCAACTCATCATTGATCGTATCGAACATACGAGGCAAATCCTCCAATAACCCTCGAAATCGCTGCATTGATCAAGTCGCGCAACTCAGAATCACCGATCCAGAACCAGAGCCTTAACCAAAACCTAAACTACCTCCACGACAAGTTATCACCATTCTGAAAATACAACAGAGAGGTTAAAACATGGTCATACTGTTAACTCACACTATGCCCCACTATCAACCCCTTAGATTAATCCTAAGGATTATACCTGATTCAAGTACAGATCGTGTGCTTTCGGTAGCACGGGCTCATACTACCTTCCATACCTATATGTACCCGCCCCAGGAATCATCTTAAAGTTCCTAAGTTGCTTCCCTATGGCCACTACTAGTCAACCCTACCATAAAAGTGTACTCATATACTAATATACTAATATACTTCCTAGGCATTCCTAGGATTTCCCATTCTTTACCCGCGTGCCGAAAAGGTCTCTACTAACGTAGAAAAATCACCTCGTGACTGCAAGTCATATATAACCAAAGATAATATAGACATTTGAATCAATGTCTCTATCATAAGGCCTTAATCAGACACGAACAAGCAGTAAGTATGGACCAAAAATTATAAGGGTATCTAGTACTAATCATATAGAACTCTAAAGCATTCACTAAACAATCCATCAATTTTAGCATAAACCCTAACAAGTACATAAAAGATACATAACAGGCAAGAAGAAGGCATCTCTCCTAAACATGCATTCTATCATGTAATCCTGAGCAGATCCTTAGCTTAACTTTGAAACGTCCCAAAATTCATAGAAAATTTTTCATTTTTAAATAACTAAACAATCCATTCTTTTACATAAATAGATCATCATAGTATCAAAAGTAGTTTCAAAATAAACATCAGAATATCATAAAACAAAGTGCGTAATCTCCAGTGGATGTGATGCAATCATGTCTGTCCCTTCCCCTTTGCTACAAGAAGTACCTGAAACATTTAAACGTAAAATCGTAAGCATAAAGCTTAGTGAGTTACCAAAATATAAAATACCATACATATCCACATTCATAATAATACGACCTATTTCAGCCAACGGGTCTGTTTCAACCCAAGTGAATGTTACGGACCAAATCATAGTCTTACAATCACCCCTGCAATGGCCTATTTCATCCAATGGGTTTGTTTCAAATCAAGTGAATGATATGGGCCAAATCGTAGTCTTAAAACACCTCTACAATTGCCATAGACCAAACCATGGTCTTTCATACAAGAATAACATCAAGAGTCATAAAGACAACAATGACAAAATGATACCTAGTGTCCTATATATTATAGTGAGAAGGCTCAGCTCTCTATTGAAGTTGACTACACCACAACTCGTAAGATCATAATGTAACGTCCCATTTTCCAATGATTTTTTTTCATTTTTATTAAGGTAAAATTCCCAATTTATTAATCCATTATTTAAGAAAACAATTTATTCCAAATTACATTTATTAAAATCAGAGTATTGACGGAAACACAAAATCTTCAAAGTTGCTGATGAGTGTGTACAGTCCAGGCCGGAATACCAGGGTTTGTTAGCCTACCGCCTCAACCCAACCACTCCTCCCGAGCCTCTGTGCCTACGGCTTACAAACGGCCCACACCAGGTATCTTGGCCTACCGCACAAAGCAGGATTGCCTCAACCCAAACCAAACATAATATGTCCACATATAAACAATCAGGATCAAGTATTCCCATAATATATGCAATAACAATCATACAACTCACTACCACCTACTAGTCCTCTCACAACATACAGTCCTGCTACCCGCTAACCTCCATAGAATGCATAACCATAAGTATCAGAGGTGAGATAGCCACCCGAACAGGTGATCCTACTTTAGAGCCACAACCAAACAAGGAACATGCAAGATAGCCTAGACCAAGAGTTCTCAGGCTATCCTACATGACCACAGACAGTCCCTAAGGGCACTCCATAGGTGATAACCAGCAAGCACAGATAACATACAGTTCTACATGTCATTGCCACAAAGCAACATACTCAATACCAGGAGACAGATCTAACATGTCACTACAATATTGCAACATACTCGATACCATAAAACAGATCTAACAGATCACTACAACATAGCAGTATACTCAATACCAGAACACAGATCTAACAGATGACTACAACATAGCAGTATACTCAATAGCAGAACACAGATCTAACAGATCACTACAGTATAACAACATACTAAATATCAACTATCCAAGGAATGCACGACCGTAAATACTCAAAGGTGAGATAGTCACCCGGACAGGTGATCCTACTCTAGAATCACAACCAAACAAGGAACATGTAAGAGAGCTTGGATCAAAAGTCCTCATTCTATCCTACATGACTATATACGTTCCCTAAGGTATCCCTCTACTAACAGATAAACAAAACTAGTGGGCCGACATTGGTTCCTTCGACCCACGGTATAGTGAGGTGAAACTCACCTCGATATGTGTGTAGGTAACCACAGTAGTAACGGAGAACTCTACAGCTTCAACTCACTTCCAATCACCTACAAGAAGATACTCGAGTCAATACCCGATTACTGGTCATAATCACTTGCAACAGTGACTACCTCACATGAAATGACGATTAGGGTTAAGTAAGAACACTTAACCCATTAAGAACCTAATCACCTAATGGTAGGAATGATTAAGGTTTGACTTAGTCATTCTCGGGTGAAATAATAATCCAATCAACGACCCAATTACGTGCCCGATCATTGTCCGAAATAGAGCTCCCCGATTCTAGGGTTTTCACATAAAATGATAACTAGGGTTAGTGTTCTACACTTAGCCATTTAAGGACTTAATCCATTAAGTACAATATTGCATTAAGTTAATTATAGGGGCATTATTAAGTATTATTTAAAGTTTAATTAACGGCTTTAACACGGGTCCCGACCAACTCCAAAATTAGGGTTTTATTGATATTAGGGTTTTCTAAACCCTAATTAGGGTTTCCAACCCCAAACTCGCCCCACTCGGGCTAAAGTTAACTGTTTAGGTAATTTAATGTTTAAAAAGTCGGGCACCACCCAATGCCACCTTCGACAATGGTGGTTGACGGCGACCTGAGGCGACAACCACCCACACATGACAGTAGCAGCAGTTTCAAGTGATAAATCCAACAATCCAAGCACACATAAAAGTTCTTACATCACACACACACACACTAACACCAAAAAGACAAGGAAAAATGCCCAATAAAGCCACCAAGATGGTGGCAGAAGGTGGCAGCCACCACCTCACAGTGGTGGTGGTGGGTTTTCTTTAATTTCCAGCCAAGAAATATCCATGCGAAATCACAACAATACAACATGCCCACAACCACACGATGTGGTGCTTAGTGGTGGCAGAATGGCGGTAGCCACCATGGTTGGCTGCCATGGTGGTCCTCTTGTTTTCCGGCCAACAAACACACGCCAACACATACTGAACCACACACACACATACATATGTGCGGAAACACCCACCGCATAGTTTCACTTCTCTCTCGGAGGAGGATGACGGCGAAGGGATGACAAAAGGAACGGTAGCACGAAGCAGTGGCAGCGGCGGCGCCAACAGACGATGCTAGCTGCGGTGACGCAACCAGGCGACGATACTGGTGGGGCGATGGATGACGAATCGGAGGAAGGAAGGAATGTGCTACTGAGAACAATAGCAATAAC